TGGAAGCAGGAAAGCCTCCATGTAGGCGAAGTGTATGAAGCCTGCTGGGCCTTAGATAATATCTTGATCATCAATTCAGCTCACAGACAAGTCATGTTAGAAGATAGTCTCGACCCAGTGGACACGGGCAACTGGCTTTTCTTCCCAGGAGCTACAGTTAAGGTTTGAGCTCTCTTTTCCTCCTTCTCCTCCCTTTTCAACGCTAAAGTTAAATAAACCAAATTGTAAAAGAATAACTATTTGATCAAAACTACTTTTAAAGAGATGGTTATTACTTGTATTTGCCTTACCCTGCCTTTTAAGGACAGAAAGTCATTGGTATAAAATATTCATTTATTCAAGTATTTGCAAATTTAGAATGCTATGGAAGTACAACACACAACACTGAATCCAGTCTTGCAGAGACTAGACTAGACTAGAGTAGAGTAGGAAAGTCCAAGTAGAGACAAAGGGTAATTCGCAGTTGGCCAGGTGAGAGGAATAGTGTTTCTGGAACAGAAATCGCAAACGTGGAGGCTGGAAGGTGAGAGCAGAAAACAAAGTCTCGAACCAAGTTCAAAACAGCTGTTGTGTAGATTTTGAATTGAGATTTGTAAGTCTGGAGACATGGCCAGTGGCAAGACCTTAAAGGTCTTTCAAGCTGCTATAGAGCTTGAACTTTATCCTGAAGGTGTTAGGGAGCCGTTGAAGCATTTTAAACAAGAGCCAGACTTAATCAAATACGATTTTTGAAATATACTTTTGACTTCAGTGGAGGATGGAAGGGAAGGGGGAAAGAGTGCAAGCAGGGAGCCCAGATGTTGTCACTGTTGTGGTTGTGTTCCGTTGAGTCGATTCTGACTCATAGCGACTCTGTAGGACAGACTAGAACTACCTCATAGGGTTTCCAAGGAATGGCTGGTAGATTCGAACTGCCAGCCTTTTGGTTAGCAGCCTGAACTCTTAACCACTTCACCACCAGGGGTCCTGGGAGACCAAATAGGAAGCTTATAATGATAGTCCTATAGGAGATCACGTTAGCCAGAATTAGGGGAGAGAGGATGGGAAAATGTGGATGTATTTCAGAGATTTTTAGAAGAAGGAGTGGAGAAGATCGGGAGCTGATCGGGAAGATGCAGGAGTGGCAGGTGTCAAGGACCACTCCAGGTTTCTGGCTGGGGCAGCTGGGTGGAGATTCACTGAAACAGCAAACATAGGAGGAGGAGCAGGTTCACAGGAAGGTGATGAATTCACCTTGGACATACCGACCGTAAGGATCCTGGGGCAGGCAAGAAGAAATATTTGGCCAGAGGTTAGATACATAAGACAGAAACTCAAGGAAGATCTAGATTTGGGAATTATTAGCCTTTGGGAATTGAAATCATAGGCTTGCCCAGGAGATAAGTGGAATAAGAAATTGCACTTAGGCAATATGAAAAATGCCATTGGACCTTCCACTGGACCCTCTCACATATTCAGTGTATGAAAATAATGCACAAATAAGGCTTGGAGAATTAAAAAAAAAAAAAAGCTGTGACTTGCTGATGCCAAAAATATCATGTGCTGGAAGAGATAGGGTTACAGGAGGTATAGTAAGTAAAATATAAAGATCTAAGATGCTCACCTCCTTCTAATAATTTAAGTACTAGAAGAATAATTCCAGATTGTTTAGAGAACCCTTAACACAGGAGTTCCCCTCAAACAATAACTTCTTACATAACAAATCAAACATAAGTCATTTTTTCTTTAATTGGATGAAATTACACAAATTGACCAGCATTAGGAATAGGCATGACCTTTTCTCAATGCAAGAAAACAGCCAGTAACCCTTACGGAAACTTATTCTAACAAAGACTCTAAAACCATGGCCCTTTAGAGAGAGCCCATGGATTCCTTACATGTAGGTATTGAAAAGAAACTTTGTAAGGATATCCCAAGTCATATCACACTACCACTTGATTAAAGAGGGATTTCTGCTGTAATTGTTCAACACTGGCAAGGAGAGGAGCAAACCCAGGAAACACATGTGGACCTCAAGACCCGGAATTCACATCTTTTTCCCATGATGATCATTTATCATTTGGTCTCAGTACCCTTTGCTGCTTAAATGTACTTTTTCTGCCTCATTTTATAAGCCATTATACTAATCTAGTTATTCGGTTCCTTAATGCATGTTACTTCAGTACCACTCATGATAAAAATGCATGAAGTGTGGTTTTGCTTCAGTAGGAATGTTTAATTAAATTACAGCTTTATGTAGAATATACTTTTGCTTTGTGGTCCCTGATCCTACTCACAAACTTAACCACTCACACATTTGAGACAAGTCAAGTATCCTACAGATGTATCATAGCAGGAATGATTTATATCATCATCTTGACTTTAGCTGTCAGGTAGAAATTTTTCTCTGATGTTTCCTTTTAAAACTTCAAAAAAATACATTAATAAAATCTAAGCATTTGTCATTTTTGACTCATGTGCACAATCACCCATTTGCTTTCTGACTCAAACGTAAGAACATGAAGAAAAATTGCCTTTGACAAATGACGTGGAATTTTAGAAATAAAAATTGTTTATTTAAACTGCATGTAATTTATTTGTCAAATATTGTTCCTTTACTTGATGGCTTCTGAGATAAAAACTGAGTACAACCAATTAGAAAGTATATCTCAGTGTTTCTATTGGTCAAAGGACATGTTTTAAACATTACTTTATATGGACTCTTAGTTTTTAAGGTACTGTTTGTTTGTTTAACCTACAAGATATCATTTCTATTTTAATTAAAAGTTTCCAAGATGCTTCCATCTTAACCAAATCATTTAGTAAGTCGAACAGCAATTGAGAAAGTGTGCTTAATTATAAAAGAGTTAATTCACAGAAAAATTTCCAAGCACAGATAGAATTCTATTTGGACAAGTAATAATGGCTGCTTTTTAATGTAAGCATGCAGTTGACAAAAAATGACAGGTAAAATTCTAAACACTTCATTGGTTGTATCTCATATAATTTGATCCTTATAAACCTGTAAAGCAGGTGCTGTCTTAGCCCCATTTTACAGATGTGGAAACTGGATTATAGGGATGTTGATAACTTGTCCAAAATACACTTCTCACCAGTGGCAAGCCTGAATTCAAATCCAAGAATCTGACTTCAGAACTCTTGCTCCCAGTCATCACCTAGCTTTGTTTTTAACAGTAGTAGGTGTAAGTGTATATGCTTACTCTTTGTCCTGTGTTTTTTCCCACCATCTACATGTTAAATTATCTGCCCATTTTCTTCCCCATCACAGTCTGACTATAGGTGTAAAGATTTTTGTTTTTCTCATGTTTCTTGATCTTACTCCAGCTTTGTTCCGTGTGTACTGCATGTTCCTTCCTCTGGATGACTGATTTTTATCCACTAGAATTTAGCAAGTTGAGCCCAAGCACTGGTTGCTTCCCTCTATTCCACATTGTGACAACTGCGTTTGTTTTCACAACCTTAGTTACTGGTCCGTCTTAGATACTGACTGCTGGCATGAAGTGAACATAAGGAGATGGAAGTATTAAAATATTTCCCATATGAAGTCAGGGGGCACTCACAGTAAACCATACGGGAAGTGAACTAAAGTAGGGGCTGTGAGATTGTAGAGAAAAAGAAATCAACAGTCTAAAGATAGCAGACTGGCTGTGACAAGGACATATGAACCAAAGATCACGCAAAGGGATGCAACTGACAGAAACTCCACATCAAACCACATCATGCAACCCCATGCTTAAGACCTTTGATGGCTTTCTACGTAGGCCTAGAGGATAGAAGCCAGACTTCCAGCCATATAATTCAAGGCCCTTTCCAGTCTAGACCCACCCTAACTTTTCATCCTCATCTCCTGCCCCATTGTCCTCCCACCTCACAAATACAACACAGAATTTCACACTCCCATTCCTTTAGACGTGGTTTTCCACTTTCTTTTTCTCTGCCTAGTGATTTCTCCACATACTTTGGGGCCCAGTTCAAATGTCACTGCTCTGTGAAGTTTTAGCAAAACTAATGTCTCCCTCCATGCTGTATGGGTGTAACCGTTAGGTTGAACAAGCAGGACTTCTTGAGGTTAGGGTTAGCTACAGAAAACAACTTCATTATTTTTCTCCACTGAACATTTCCTTATCCCTGCCCTCTTTGCATGGAAACTAAGATAGGTCCCAAGACTTTCCTGATAGACAAAAAGTCACCCAGTAACTTTAGTCTCCCAAACAGTTCCAGTTCTGTAACAAATGCGACCAGTCTGAGGTAATAATCCAAACTCCAAGCTTCATCCATAGCTTCTTCCCTCCCCCAGCTTACATCTGCTGCAGTAGGAATGGGGATAGTGGTCAGCTTCTTCTCCCTCCTCACGCTCCAACACTAGCTTCAGCCTCTGAAGCCTCCAGGGCTGGGTCTGGAAGAAGGAGAAGAGGCAAGAGGCCTAGTATTGTTGTGAGCTGACATCACTAATCCCTGGACTTGGCAAGTGATCAAAGTTGGCTTTCTCTTGAGTATACCAATGAGCTCTTTGGAAACATCTCCCACTCCCAACCCCTGCCAAAGCGAGGGATCTCTCACCTGCAGTTTCCCACTACATCTCTCTGGCAGGAAGTGTATGCTTCCTCTCTTAGCCACTGGGCCCCTGGGTAATGACAGATTCTTTATGCTGAAGGCCGTTTGCCTCTCCAGGAAGCCCTTTTGGGCAGGATCTTAAACAACATAGACTGTCTCTTGTGTTATACATGGCCCATGCCTTGTCTGTGGTAAACCTCAACATTGATCCATCATCAGGAGGCAAATAGTTACTTCTAACTGCAGCCCTCTTCTTATATAGCCATCTGCCAGGCAACTCCAGCCACAGGTCCAGATGTCCTCGAAGTCCTTCCCACTGGGCTTGAAGTAAGGAGAAGTTACACTCCTCTCTTAACATGGGCATGGGTGGGACTCACAAAATACCAACAACTCTCCCTAAGGAAATCATCTCTCTACTGTCCAACTTCCTGCCCACTTCAACCTCAAGCTTGCATAATCTAAATTTGAGTGAGTGCTAAACCATTTCTATCACCTCTTTTGCTAGGTCCTTATAGTCCATACGTTGCCTTACTTTGGAATGTGGAGTAGTTGCCATCTATTTTCTCTTGGCTTCAGCCGAAACCAAGGCTAAAATAATTCTGTTTTAG